TTATTGGATGAACATTTTGCAAATATTTTCTCCTATTCAACAGGTTGTCTCTTCACTCTGTGATTTCTTTTGCCTTAAAAGCACAGGTGACAAAACCAAAAATAGACAAATTGAACTATATATTAAAGAGCTTCTATACAGACCAATACCCTGGAGTGTTTCCCTGTGTTTTCTTCGAGTTGTTTTATAGTTTTGAGTCTTATGTTTAGGTACTTAATCAATTTTGAGTTGATTTTTGTATATGGTGAGATAGGGGTCTAGCTTCATTCATCTGCATATAAATATGCACCATATATTGAAGAGGGGGGTGTCAATTCCCTGGTATGTGTTCTTGGTCCCTTTGTCAAAAATAAGTTGGTTTACATATGGGACTTATTTCTGGGTTCTCTGCTCTGTTCTATTAGTTTTTATACCAATACCATGCTGTTTTGGTTACTATAGACTTGTAATATATTTTGTATATATTTTGTGTATATTTTGAAGTGACATAGTGTGATGCCTCCCGCTTTGTTCTTTTTGCTCAGTATTGCTTTGGCTCTTTCAGCTCCTTTTTGGTTCCACACAAATTTTAGGACTGTTTTTTATATATTTCTGTGAAAAATTACATTGGTATTTTGATAGAGGTTTTATTGAATCCATAGATGACTTTGGTTAGTATGACCATTTTAACAATATTGATTCATGTGACCCATGAACATTCGTTTGTGTCTTCAATTTTTTTCATCAATGTTTTGTAGTTTATTTCATCAATGTTCTGTAGTTTTCCTTGTAGAGGTCTTTCACCTCCTTGGTTACATTTGTTCCCAGGTATTTTATTTTCTTTTTGTAGCCATTTTAAATGGGATTGCCTTCTTGATTTCTTTTTCAGCTACTTCACTGGTATATAGAAACACTACAGATTTTTGTATGTTAATTTTCTATCCTGCAACTTTACTGAATTGATCTAAGAGTTTTTGGTGGAGTCGTTAGGTTTTTCTAGCTATAAGATCACGTCACCTGCAAAGAGGCACAGTTTGACTTTCTCTTTTCCAGTTTGAATGCCTTTTATTTTATTTTATTTTATTTTATTTTTGAGATGGAGTCTCGCTCTGTCACCCAGGCTGGAGTGCAGTGGCACAATCTCAGCTCACTGCAAGCTCCACCTCCCGGGTTCACGCCATTCTCCTGCCTCAGCCTCCTGAGTAGCTGGAACTACAGGCTCCCGGCACCACACCCGGCTAATTTTTTATGTTTTTAGTAGAGATGGGGTTTCACTGTGTTAGCCAGGATGGTCTCTATCTCTTGACCTCGTGATCTGCCTGCCTCAGCCCTGCAAAATGCTGGGATTACAGGCATGAGCTACCACGCCCAGCCTGAATGCCTTTTATTGTTTCTCTTGCCTAATCACTCTGGCTAGAACTTCCAATACTATGTTGAATAGGAGTGGTGAAAGTGGGCATCCTTCTCTTGTTCCAGTTCTAAGAAGAAAGACTTTCACCTTTACCGCATTCTGTATGTTGTTAGCTGTGGGTTTGTCATATATGGCCTATTATATTGAGGTA